TTGCGTACAGAGTTTGGAGGAAGGCTTATATCCAGGAATGGGGAACGTAAATTAACCACAAAGGTCATGCGACTTGACACCGCTAGGTTATTTTTTGTAGGGCCATGTGAAAAGCCACATTTACGCAAACATTCCGCAAACCATTCAACAATTGAAAGTAGAAATTAGGCAAATAATTCCTAACATATCTTGATGAATGTGTTCAGCAGTAATCGAAAATTTCAAAAAAAGGATTGTGTGCTGCTAGAGAAGTCTTGGTGGCCATTTGGCAGATATTGTGTTCAACGTTCAATTATACGCTAACGCTGTCCAGCTAAGCACTTGGAGCTTATAGATAAATCTTAGGTATGTTATGAAATTTTGATTTTATTCGTTATCAACATCCGAAACCTCTTATTGGAATACCATATACAAAACATCAAATTTGATCTAAAAAATACAAAATATATTCCAAACAAAAAGTTGTTTGTTCTAATTTCATATCCTACTTGAAAAACTGAGATTAGAAATAGTTTAAAATATTTGTATATTATTAATATTTTTTATGACTGAAGAGAATAAACTGAGAAATAGAACTGAGAAATAAAACTAAGATTTATGTTTTGTGGTTTAAAATTTTTCATACATATTTTTAACTGCGATTTTTTTTTGTTTCTTATTCCGTGCTGATTGACAAAAAAATCTAATTCCATCATACAAATCACAATTCATCATAAAACTATTAATCAAATTTTCTTAAACAGTCGAAAGCGATAAAAATAAAATTACCAGTTCGAATATCCGTGAATTAAATAATCGCCCTCGGCTTTTTGAGAAGATTGGCTATATAAACTGGTGCTTTTACTTTACGAGTTTAATAAAAATGCAATCTCATGCATTTCGTACATCCACTTACTATATTAGCGAAGGATGCTTATATTTAGATTTCATCTGAAGTTTTATAAACGAAATTTCAGATAAATTTATAGTACAATTCTTCAAAATCGCATTATTTGGAGTAAAATAAGACACTAATTCACCACAATACACCAAAACACTTTACTTTTAACACTAATGGTGGGTTTTGCTAACCATGTTAGCATCATCAGCAGTTGATTAAAAAAACTAGATAGCTTTGATCATCTCTTGGAGATGTTAACATGGTTAGCGGCGAAGCGAGTCAAATCAGTCGAGTGTAGCAATAACTTACCAAGCTTAGGTCAATAGGAGCAGAAAACTAGAAGGAATTGGACCACTAAATGTGTGCATATCATTTAATTTTATATTTATTTATATTATATATATTTATATTTATTTATATTGATGTCCTCATGAATTTAATTACCTGTGATTTGACACATTTTTATTAATTTTACATTACGATACGATACAACAATCTTCTCTAAGACTTTTTAATTGGGCCATATTTATGATCTATGATTATGATTTATTATGATCTTTGAATCGAAATATATTGATCTTCTGTTTACGCATCATATTTCTTATTACAATCTTACATGAAATTTATTAAACACCTGACCTTTCCAATGAATGTGTTCTATCTTTAGGAAGGTCTAATAGTTGCTTTAATTTATTACTAGGGTAGTATTATAATTATGATTACTAGGGTTAATCATACACTCATGTTTATGGTTAACATTCCTAAAAATTCTTTTTAGACCACGGTTAACTATAGCAAACAATATTGAAACAAAATTTGACGCAACATATTCCACTTGACAGGTTGAGTTTTTTTTCTCAATAACAAGGGGCCGTCCTCTGCCTGAAACACTGCGACCTATGAGGCTTATTGTGTTTGTCCCTTTTCTATATTTGCACCCATTCTCCTATCCCTGTGCCCTGCACTAACTTATGCAGGTCCTTGATAGGATGGGAGGATAGTTCATTCGGTTCTAGCCTAGCTTCCGCTATTTCAGGATCTTTACCGCAGAGTCTGCAGCAAAGACTTCCTTGGTTGAGCAAAATACAGGTTGAGCTTGTTCAGGTAACACTTGACAGCGATGTGTCCTGTCAAGAGGTCTGTTGCAATCCACACATTATTCCTGCTAAGCATTAGCAGTTATTTTGCGATTTTAGAGCTAGGCCCTTGGATAAAGGCCTTGCTGTGTTTGTGCCCCTGTCTGTTTCTCCAGTGGACATTCTGCTTTTCCCTGATCCAGAGTTTTAGTGCACTACGGGCCATAGATTTGGGTATTCCCATTACTGGCTCTGGACCAAAATAGGATGCCGATGATCCTTGCCTAGCTAGCTAATCGGCTTTTTCGTTGCGTTGGATGCCGCTGTGGCCCGGCACCTAGAATAATTTAATTTAATTTAACACAGGTTGGTTACGACCGAGGGGTGTCTCACTTGGGTAAAAAATGTACACGTACTGCCAAAATATCCTTCCACTGCTATGTGACTGCCAATGACTACGAAGAAGACTGCCTATGACTGCCATGTAATTATTATAGGCGACTGCCATAAGACTGCCGATGACTGCCAGCGACTGCCAAGAAAATGTACATGTAATTCCAATAGTGAGACACCCCTCGGTTACGACTGTTTTAACGACAGGTTGAGTTAGAAAAAGTCGTAAACTCATAACTTACCTTTTTTATCTACAAAATATCGAAAATTCGTTCCATTTTACTTCCATTTTTCTTATTTCGTATTAATTCTTTGAATAGTATTTAGGCATAAGTCTATTAAAATTGTTTTCTAACAATATATCATCTTCCCATTATCCAAACCTTCCATTTTACTCGGTGAGTCATTTAACAAAAATAATTTTATTATGAAAAATTCGTACTAAGTAAATCGTTACAATGACAGAAAGTTCTTTTTTTATTTGCGCTTGTGTATATCAGAAAACTTAAGTAATATCGAGTCACTGTTGAAATTACGTGTACATTTTCTTGGCAGTCGCTGACAGTCGTTAGTATCAGTCTTACATCAGTGGACAATAATTCGGTAGCCGACATAGACATCTTCGCAATTATTGGCAGTCACTTGACAATAAAATTATATTTTGGTAGTATATGTACATTTTCTACCGAAGTGAGACATCCCTCTAGTAATATGCGCGTGGTATGGTATTCTTTAATTCCGCCTCTTGTATTCTTTAACCGTAGTATGTTGATATGTGTGCTGGCAGATTTGTAGCATTAGAAGTTATAAAAAAGATGGAATGTTTTTTAGAAGTTATAAAAAAATGGAATGGTGAGCAAAAAAAAAGCTAAGTAAAAATTACACTGTGATACTTACGTCTTTATAAGATATTGGGCGCTACTTAGTTTTCCATTTACTTTCGAAAACTTCTAAGTTGTAAACTGAGAAATCAACTCAGAATATAGGTATTACTTATTTTAGGAATTACACAAAAAACGCTGAGATAAACCAATAACTAAGTATCATTAATAATTAAACGTTAAATAGAATAAAATAAGACTATAAAAAATTTGATATTTGAAAATATTTGTTAAATTGTATGTCAAAATAGATCACTCTTATTAATGATAGTCTAATTCTGCACGCTTCTCTGAATAGTAATATTCTATTAATTATTCCGCATAAAGTCTGGCGATCTTGGTACCAAAATGTAGGGACTCATTAAAAAAAAAGTACTATATGAATATCAGAAATGTGCATAACATGTGTAAAATGTATCAAAGTGAATTTTAAAGCAATGAAATTTAAAGCAATGAAATATACTATGCCTGAAGAGCTTAATGAATTCAAATGAACTTAAATTATATAGATATAAAATCAAATGATCTGGCCTTTTTATCCGTTCTGGTCACAAGCTGGTTGTGGCATACTGCTACCGGACCTGGATTGTGGTATAAGTTGTTTCTGGTCAGACTGGATTGTAAACTTGGATGGATTCAGGAGATTCCTTCGTTATTCCCGGTGTGAAATGTAGGGGCAAACGTGGACTAAATGTCGGGTGCAAAAAAGACAAAATGGCACCAGAAAATAAAGCCACCATAAAATGCGGCCATAAACTAAAACCCTATAGAAAGAAAAAAAGGTATTAGGAAACGTTACTCAACGTTACGTTTAAAACTACAGTTGAGTGTTAGAACCTTTGGTGTTACACAGCAAAATAAAAACACTAAATTACCACAATACACCAAAACACTTTTACTTTTATAAAACTAGTTTATGGTAGTAAACTTTCTTGGTTGTTTTTAAATCCAAATATTCAGGCAATTAATATTCCGTTACAATTCACTAGTTTTTAAATGTCTACAATTGTTAAAATTTAAATCAATGGATATGTTTTACATAATTACTCATATGACATCATATGACGTGTGACATAACATCATATGACTTTAAAAAGCAATTTAATAATTTTTTTATTTTCTAAATCATCAGAGTTGTTGGTTCAACTAAAAAACAGGAACTTCTGCCATATTTTAGAAGAAACAAAAACAAATATCAACCTTCCAACATGTTATTAATAGACTCCTTCGACAAATCCAATATATTAACTTTTTTCCACGCATAGCCCGAATATCAAATTTTAGAATGAGGACATGACAATGTATCAAGGGTTATTCAAATTCCTTTTCAGTCAATATTATATATTCCTTCTAATTCCGAAAACGGCTAGAGAAAAGTATACTAAACATATCAACAGAAATAATAATAAGAAATAATAATCAAGTCAAAACAGGAATAATATATTATTCCGTATTTATTTTATAATAATAAATATTCTACTTTCTTTTGTATAAATCAGCAACAATCCAAGGCTAGCAATAATTTAAATTGGTGGAACATGTGCGTTTGTAAAGAAATGCAAATTTTTAAAATAATACCGACTGTTCAATTACCTTTCCTCCATAAACATGATCTACAATTAAAAATAAATGACAATATATTTAAGAAAAAGCTATCATTTGTACCATATTCCTGAATCAAATTAAACTTTTCATTTAATACCAGGACATTTGTTTCCATAATTGTCCCCGTTCCATCTATATTAATGTAATCTTTTTGTTTTAGGACCGCACCAGCAATCGCCATGATATCACGTCATTTGTCTACAGCGTGACCAGCCATTTGGGGGATAATGACGGCAAATAATGCGAAAAGATAATGTAATGGAGGTAAGAAAATGGCCATCCTAATCCTTTAGTTTAAACACTTTTCTTTTTTTTTTTCATTAAATTCGTTTCCTTTTAAGCCAGCCTTAAAATATTAAGATTAGAAGAGATAGATGAGAAAAGTGTTTTTTAATGTAGTTTCGGTTTATGCACCTATAAAATCTTATTTTGTAAATATAAATTTAAATTCATCCTAAAAGCTGTCTAATTTGTTTTTTTAATGCGAGGAAAATTATTTAAGTGATTTATTCAAGTATTAAAACAAAATGAAATATAAATAAATATTGTACAAATTCCGCACATCGTTCCGTAAAAATTCGTAGGCACATATCATAGACTTTAAATGAAGACTACAGTATGTCCCCCGATTGTCTTTAGGGAGGGAAACATTTTTATATTATTGACATATCGAGAAAAATACATTCTTTATTAAAATGTTTCTTCGTTCTAAAATGGTTAATCCCGTTTATGCTTTTCCAAATATCCAGTTCCAAATATATTTAGGGAAATTAAAAAAAAAACAGGAATATGGTTTTTTGTAAGTCTTAAAAATTAAAAGGCGTTTCTATGGTAATATAATTTCGATTTCATTCTTTGATAGATGTTTATTATTAATGTTGCGGACCCGTGCCGTGTGAACTAGGCCTTAGGCCTGGCCACTCGCCTATGACTCATACGCCCAGCTATGCCGACGTTCTAGAACGAATAAGAATTGACTAGACAAATCTGGATTGTCTATTTCTCTCCTATATAAGCAGACGCCTGGGGCCTAAGGAGGACAGAGATAAATAACCGATCGACGCGTACAGTTACAATAGTCGCGCTAATTCATAATAAATTTCTGTTAGATAAATAATTAGATAAATTGTAAATAAGTTATAAATAGTTCTTTAAGTCTTTTAATCATTATTGTTTTTGTTAATTAGTGTTAAATAAATTGTGTTTAAATATATTGTGACTTTCTATCCACACATAACCGACGAAGAACGTAACATTAGTGGGAGGAAGCTTGCAGATATTCGCCGAACGTGAAGTCGTACTGGTCCCAGTGGAATTCATTGGTAATAGATAACGGATTACTTCGCCGTGTGATTGAGAGACCAGAGGGACAAGAAGAGAGAAGGCAGATCGTCATTCCAAAGAAGAGGGTCCCGGAAGTCTTGGCGGAAATTCACAATGGAACCAGCGGTGGACATCTTCGTGTTAGCAAGACCCTTGGCAAGCTGCGTGAACGGTTCTATTGGGTGAACTGCACAGAAGACGTGAGGGCCTGGTGTAAGAAATGCGACGTTTGTGCTGCTATCAATGGACCACAAAAGCGTGTACAATGTAGGCAGTCCTTTCGAACGAATAGCGATCGACGTGGCTGGTCCTTTCCCGGAGACGAACGATGGCAACAAATACATTGTGGTAGTAATGGATTACTTCAGCAAATGGGTCGAGGCCTACGCGTTGCCAAATCAAGAAGCATCCACCATTGCTGATGCTCTTGTTAAGGAATGGATCTGCAGGTTTGGTGTTCCCATGGAGCTGCATTCAGATCAGGGAAGAAACTTTGAGTCCAATCTGTTCAAAGGCGTCTGTGAGATCCTTAACATCCGCAAGACCAAGACGACTGCTCTGCATCCACAATCCGATGGGATGGTTGAACGCATGAACAGAATCATCAACCGTTATTTGGCCAAAGTAGTCTTTGACCATCAAAGAGACTGGGACAAATTTCTTCACCTGTTCCTGTTGGCCTATCGTTCATCCGTCCAAGAATCCACAGGGCAAACTCCAGCCAGCATCGTTATGGGACGGGAAGTGCGCCTACCTTGTGACCTGAAGTTTGGTTGCCGACCGGGAGAAGATGTCGCCGGAGAAGATTATGTCCATAGACTACGCCAAAGGATGGACGACATCCATCAGCGAGTCCGCCTAAATATTCAAAGCGCTAGTGACCGAATGAAGGAGCACTACGACATTCAAGCTGAACATGGAGGGTACCAACTTAGAAGTTCGATACTTTCAAAGCTTCCAGAAACTGTAGACTTGAGTACCTATATTAGTACGAGAGCTAGCAACGTCGGAAAAACAAGTATTTTAAGATGTCTAGCTCTTTGATATATCTTTTGCTATGCTCTCTAGAACAGCATGCGGCCCGTCTGGCTTCCGATACCCGTTGCGTTCTCTACTGCGCATTGAAAGAAGATCCTATATTTTTATTAGTCCTATAAATTCTAGTACTGAATACAGGGTGGCGCACCTCATTCGCCTCGGTTGATTATACGAAAACGGAAAGATGCAGAAACAACATTTTTTATGGGTATATGTAGAGAGGCAATGTGCGTAATTTAAAATTATTTTCAAATGTACAGGGTGTGTCCGAACTAAGATCCATACCAAAGTTATATTTTTTCTTATGGAACGCCCGATATATTATCTTATTTTTGGATACTTGGGCACAAAACAAGGCATTTATTATAAGGGTTTAATATGTTCAAATGCTTTGGTTTTTGAGATATTTAAAGATATTTAAATATGCACGCTATAATAAAAAAGTTTGTCAACACCCTTTACATTACTTTTCAGAGTTAATTCTTGTGCGGATTTTGAAGTCAGAGAAATAAACTTTACTAAAATATGCTATTGCTGCTTTAAATGTATACAGGGCTATTAAAAATTGCTGGTCTATTTTAAATATTTATTTTACAAAAAAACTTTGTTATTTCAAATACAACACTATGTATTTTTTTAAATAAGTCGAAGTAGATTTAAATGCTCTTTCAAATTATATTAGGGTTTCCTATACCTATCTGGCTGAGATTTTGAATAAAAAGCGATTTTTCAATAAAATGGCAATCAAGATGGCTGGTGTCGCTATGGCAATTTGTTAGTGACAGTTAGTAGCTTTTTTGAAAATCGACATTAGTTTATGGTCTTTATTTAAATTTATAACAGCTTACTTTTATTTAATTTACTTACAATAGTTTAATAAGTAAGTATTTATTATTTTATCCAGAAAAACAAAGAAATAGTTCTCTGATTTATATTACGATGACTTGTAGATATATTGGATTTTCTATAAAAAAAACAATTAAGGCAATTTTATTTTATTCACTTCCAACGACAGGTTTCTGCCTGATAGATTTTTCATTTACCACACTATCCGCTCTGCAAAATAGGAAAAGTATAGTTTTTCAAAGGAATGTTTGTCAAGAAAATTCCTATTTGGATATCTTTGAGCATAAACCCTTTAGGCCAACAATCAATTGTCCTCACACAATAAAATCACTAGTAACATATACATTCCTTCCGCCAGCAGATACTGCTGCTTCATTTTTCTTGATAAAATAATAAATACTTACTTATTAACCTTATTGTAGGTAAATTAAATAAAAATAACCTGTTATAAATTTAAATAAAGTCCATATACTAATGTCGATTTTGAAAATAGCTACTAAGTGTTACTAAAAAATTGACATGGCGACACCGCAGCCACCTTGATTACAATTTTATTGAAGAATCGCTTTTTATTCAAAATTTGAGCCAGATAGGTATAGGAAACCCTAATATAGTTTGAAAGAGCATTTAAACCTGCTTCGACTTATTTAAAGAAATACATAGTGTTGCATTTGAAATAACGAAGTTTTTATGTAAAATAAATATTTAAAATAGACCATCAGTTTTTAGTAAAGTTTATTTCTCTGGCTTGAATGGCAGCACAAGGATTAATTCTGAAAAGTAATGTACAAGGTGCTGACAAACTTTTTTATTATAACATGCATATTTAAATATTTTTAAATATCTCAAAAACCAAAGCTTTTAAACATATTAAACCCTTTTAATAAATGTCTTATTTTATGCCCAAGAATCCAAAAATGAAATAAAATACCGGGTGTTCCATAAGAAAAAATATAACTTTGGTATGGATCTTAGTTCGGACACACCCTGTACATTTCCAAATAATTTTAAATTATGCACATTGTTTATCCACATATACCCATAAAATATTTTATTTCTACTTCTTTTCATTTTCGTATAATCAACCGAGGCGAATGAGGTGCGCCACCCTGTATAAATCGAACATGTCTCCATAGCGCAGTGCATAGAGCTCGGCATAGAGTTTCCGACCACGAACCGAGGATTCAGAGTTCCATATTTGTTTTTTTAAATCCCCAGAATTATTTAAAACTTTACTATCAGAATATAATCGAAAATAAAATAAAAAAGTGTTTGTCCTGACCCGGATTCGAACTCTGAATCATCGGTTCGTAGTCTGAAACTCTACGCACTGCGCTATGGAGATTTTTTATAATATTGAATACTGGAATTTATATTCGCAGTACTGAACGCAACGGGTATCGGCAGCCAGACGGGCTGCATGCTGTTCCAGAGAGCCTAGTAAAAGATATTATATCAAAGAGCCAGACGTGTCAAAATATTTTCTCGAAAACATTGCTAGCTCTTAGACTATATGGTTTTACTTTCAAATCGATACCTACACACGTTGCGTTCCCGAGATAAAGAGTCTTGATAGACAGACGGACAGACAACAAAGTGATCCTATAAGAGTTCCATTTTTTCCTTTTCATGTAAGGAACCTTAAAAATAGAAAAAAAATTGAAAAATTATTGATAAATAATTATTAATACTCGTAGTAGAATAAGAAATATAAAAACAACAGAGAGGAGAAAAGTATAACAATGATATAAAATAAACTTCATAATTAGTATATCAGTTATTATGAATATTGTCACAAATTCGTCAGTATTATTACCAGAAAATAGTCATCCCGTTTTATAAACAGCGAACAACTTTTTCACACAAAAAAGTTTCAAATATACTTCGATAAACTAAATGGCGAGTTTAATTTGAAATCGTCATGATTGAAATTGTTTTAAACGGTTGTTTGATGGACATGACAGTGGCATTTTTTCAATCGATTGCCGCTTATAAAAAAGCACTCTGAAACTGTCGTCGTTTAAATTGTAATGAATTTTGTTCAAAAAAAGCAAATT